ATCTTTCCAGGGCAAAAAAAAAAGAAGAGACACGACATAACAAGAAGAGACACCATCCATCACTCAGCATACATTGTGTTAAGATATTACAGTCACTGTCTGTCACCGGGAACATTATTATTCCTGATTATTTACAGAATCCACTGGCAAGTAGTCATGGCAGCACCACTGCAAGCACTGGCATGAAAAGACATCAACAAGGAATGAAAAGGGGCATGTTTCACAGTGAAAACAGTTTCTTCACTGCAGGACTTTTCAGGACCTTTAATATGCTATTTTACATTTGGAACCATAAGGGGAGAATTTAGAATCTATTTTCACAAAGCTGGACCAGTTCTGCGAAATTCCCTTTGAGAAACACGGGTGTGAGGCCATCTCTTCTTTTCCTCTGCCTTCACACCCACAAAAACTGCTTCTGGATTTCTAGTTCTTCATTTCCTCTACTCCCAGACAGCAGCAATAGTGCAAATTACATTAAAGTATTTATCCTAATTGAGACTGAACTTCTTTGGCCTAGGTTGGTTATAGCCAGGGGCTATCAAAGCCATTTTCTAATATATTAACAATTCTTCTTGACGCATGTCCCCAAGCACATGGTGTGCTGAGAAGAGATGGGACATGCCTACCAAAGTTCTAAAGGCGTAAACACAAACACACGTGCCAGGGAAAAATACTCCCCAAAGAGGCACACATCTTTAAAATTCAAGGTAAATTTCACACTGAAATTGGCATTTTGCTTTCTTTTTTTTTTTACTTTTTAAAACTTAGGAAAGTGGTTTTGCTTTATCGCTGTTGTTTTGCTTTTATTTGTTTTGAACTGGGTAACAGAGAGCAAGATCTAAGCACGGTGTCAGACTTTCCTCGAAACGCTACTATAGCTGGGTTTGCTACTATAGCTGGTGTGTGTGTCAGAATCTGGAATCACTAAATGCTAAAAACTTGGGGAACATGCCAGTTTAGATTAACTACCTGCCAGGCATTCTCTGAAATTTCCACGTGGGGTTTGCATGATGGATGAACTAACCTTTGGAAAGCTCGGTTTTGACAGGTGGGAGTGGAATTTTGAAGTCTGGTGTCATCAATGTAAGGCTCTATAAACCTTTGGAAATAACTCTTCCACATCTGGGGAACTGGAACTGATCAAATTAAAGCTCTTCTTCAGAAGATGTTTCAGTTGTAAGAAACAGAAAGCAACTCTAGCTGGGGGGAGAATGCATGCATTGGCAGGCTCTGGGTGGGTGGCTCACAATACTGAAGGAAGAGCTGAGCGACCATTTCGGGCAGGCAGGGAATGGGGCATTCTGGGGCATCTGGAAGTAGGGGCTTATGTTTTTCTTCCCTAAGATGCTACCATTAAGGTAGCTCAGCTCTGTTCTAGCTCCTAAGAGTTAGACTAAGATTGGCTCACCTAGGCTGGGTGTTTCCCTTTTGACCAGTAGGCTTGGGTGGGGAGTGGGAGGGAGAGTTTGCCAGTCATCATCCCTGGAACCCTAGCCCTGTGTGTGAAGATTTTTTCCAAGGAAGGAAGAGCCTTCCCAAGTGGGGTCAACTCCAGATGTAAAGAGAAAGGAGATAACTGTGGATGTGACCCATTCATACTGAACTGGAAAGAACAGGACATATCATAAGTCATAAGTAATCAGAAGTGAGAGAACAGTGAGTTTAGGGAAAAGAACAGTATCTTCAAAAAGATAAAGCTGAGAGGAATGTGCCACATCCTTCAGGGAAATGGAGGGTGCCCAGACTACAAGCACCATGGCTTTAGTTAGAAAAGCTCTTTAGGAGAAGGGCCATTCAACAGGGCTAAATAGATTGATGAAAGAGCCAGCTCTTCTGCTTAGATTCTAACCTGCTAAGAAGTCATGTGACTCCTAAAGGAGCCTGCAAACAACCTGTTTTACGTTTGTATGTGAGCAACATGCCATTTCTGAGTTTCAATTAAACAAGTTTGGTGCTGTCATAGACGCTGCTCATTGTCAATCCAACAGCCGTTCTTTAACCTTTTTCCCAAGCAGGTAGAATCTGCCTCCTGCAAGGAGACTGAAAATGCTGGATACTCCCTCTTCCAAGACCCCTGACTTCTGGGGGTGGACATGCAGCATCATTCTAGCCAATGCGAGTAAAGAAAATCTTTCTCAGGGATGTTGGGAAACATTTTCCTCCTTGATAAAGAGAGACCCACAAGTAGAGTTATCTTGTTACATAACTGGCCTCCTTTCTTTCAGCCTTTGAGCATGATGGGATGAGGATGAGATTCTTGGGGATGCTGCAGCCACCTTGTGACCATGAGGAGAGAATCATTGGCATACTGAAGATGGTGGAGTAAGAGGATGGGAAGGGCTGAGGGCTTTGAGACCACCAACCTCTCAATTTCTGATTATTTTTCACCTTAACCCCTACTGATTAAGCTTCTTTCACTGGAGTGTATTATTGGTTGCATTCTAAAATATCTCAGTGGAAATAGTTGCCCAAGGTAAAATCAAACACTCTCATATAAAATAAAGATTCTTGACTTCTCTTGAAAAAAATCAAAAGATCTGGCAACACTGGGCCTGTCTTCCTAACTGGCAATAACAACCTGGAGCTAAAGAGGGTCAGCACCATTTTCCTAAGGTGTACGCTCTTAGTCCTCCACACTCTCCACTATTCCTCAATGTCCCCCACCTGCCTCATTCACTGCATTCCCTTCCTAGTACCTGAAGGTATCTGAGCTTGTGGCTTCCTGGTCTCTAATATGGATTTTGAGTAAGTTTACTCAATGAAGGAAGAAAACCTGGCAGTCCACAGCTCCCAGGGTGGGCTCGGGCTCTTCACACTACGTGAAACATGCTTTTCTAAAAAGACTGAATTAAGAACCCTACATCCAAAAAGAAACAGGGGTTGAGGAATAAATGTTCTCATTATGACCATTTAATTGGTGCACTGTGATGTGATATTTACTTCACATTAATACAGCATGAAATTAAAACATAAGGGTCTGCAAAAATGCCTGCCTTTTGCGAACTGGCTTACACTGTTCATTATCGCTCCTACCACTGGCCTCCTGTTATGACATCATTTGTAATTTTAATTATATTTTAATCAAAGCTTTTATGTGGATAGTCTTAGAATTTTCCATGTAATTATCAGCATTAATAACTCTCTGTTGTTACTTTGCAGAGTGCTTCCTGGCCATTAATCTTTAAATAAAATTATTTATATTAAATTTACACATTATGGTCTAGAATTTTAAGTCATCATTAACTGAAGTATAACCCTTTCCTTTCCTCCTGCTTTCTGTTACTCAGATAAAACTGGAATCAAATAAGAATATGGGCCACATCAGGAGGGTTTTTTTTTTTTTAACAGTAGCAAATGATTCTTTTCCTACATTTCTATTTTGAGCTTTACTTTTGAAAATTAGAGTTTTCAGTTAAGTTATTGTTTAGTTTTCTAATTTTATATGAATTTTAGCTCAGAATTTAAAATTACATCTTTTCAATTGCTACGATTTATTTCTTAAAATATCTCACATTCATCTTCAAAATCGCTTGCCAATGTAACTGCTATAATTTTTTTAAAAATTAATGGCTTGACTTTGGATGGAAGTCAATTCAAGCCTCCCCCTCTGCTATCCATCCATGGGACATTCACATGACTCTGTGCCAAGGCCAGTTTGGAAGGACCAGGGCTGGAGAGGGCTGCACTGGGGGTCATGGAGTACGGTCAGTGGTACATGCACTCCAAGGGTAAACCCATGGAGCTTAACAGAAATGGCTGACCAAAGATATTCTGATGCTCCTAATTTGTACACCCAGCCCAGAGTTGATCAGCTGACACTTCAGGCAGCCACTCGAGTCTCTCAAAATGCAGTCTGTTATGCTAACTGCCCCAAAGCGACACTCTTGGCTGGGCGCGGTGGCTCACACTTGTAATCTCAGCACTTTGGGAGGCCTAGGTGGGTGGATCACTTGAGGCTAGGAGTTTGAGACCAGCCTGGCCAATGTGGTAAAACCCCATGTCTACTAAAAATACAAAAACTAGCCAGGCGTGGTGGCTGGCACCTGTAGTCCTAGCTACTTGGGAGGCTGAGGCACGAGAATAGCTCGAACCCAGAGACGGAGGTTGTAGTGAGTGAGATCGCACCACTGCACTCCAGTCTGGGTGACAGAGTGAGGCTCCATCTCAAAAAAAAAAAAAAAAATCTTGACATTCTGGATAGCGTAGATATATCACCTCATAGCATCCAGGCCAAGGAATCTGAAGAACCACATGGTACATCCAGTAGGCACTGGATGAAGGCAAAGAGCTGAACGAGAGACAGCACATGCCTGATTCTGGTCTTGTACCTTCTGCCAGAGTTCTATCATGCTGAAACATTGCCTGCCAGCTAGGAACAGGAACACACCACCACTTAGAGAATCCTTAGGGCAGAGCTCTGCAAAACTCAGATTCTAAAGGGGAAAAACTCTCAGCCTGAAGCTGCTTCTTACCTCCAGTGGCTACCCAGTCACTCCCTTGAGATGGGCCCCAGGCATGAAGTTTCTGATCTGTGAGATGAATCACACCACTTCTTGCAGAAAAGCCAAGTAAAGCCCCACTCCCCCCAAAATTCACTGTATGAGGTTGAGCTACAGAACTGGTTCATAAACTTAGGCTTATGATGGAAAGATGGGAAAGGTGGGAAGGATTTTGTGTCCACGAACCCTCAGGGAACTGCAGTGACCTCATCCCCCACACATGCACTCATGCATCTTCATGCTCATCGTGTTTGGTGGAGGTCTGTGCGTGAAGTTATTAATTTTATTTGCTTCCAGATTTAATGATTCCAAAGCCCTGGCAACGTTCAAGCTGTCACTCCAAGTTTCAAATCTATATTAGAGACATGAGGTATGAGAAGCTGATGGCTCAGAAAGGTTCTGAGCCTTTGCTTCCAAGCTCAACACCTGGAATGACCTACAGACAGAACTGGCTTTGGGTCACTGCGTCTCCAAATGACTTGTTGCACGGGGGAGCCAACACCAAGTCTTCCAGGTGGGAGGTTTTATTATGTTTTACAACCATGAAAACATAGGAAGGTGGCTGTTACAGCAAACATTTCAGATAGACGAATCGGCCAAAGCCCACCTTCTCAGCCTCTTCCTCGAATCTCTCAGAGATTGTTCCCAGTGTCCTTCACTTGCAAATTCAAGAATGTTGAAAGTAGACATTTAAAGTAGCAGGAACACCATCAGTGAAACAGAAGCAGAAGTACGATGATTTTGAGAAACAACTGATGAAAAATACACTACAGAAAACCATTTCTATTGTGTTATGATGTCAGGGTGGCAGATGTGCCCAGGGCTTAGCGTCCATCCTCCCAGGACACTGGTCATACGGGGCCTTCAGTGATCCCCTCCAGAGGCAAGCTGGGTGCGCTGTCAGCTGTGGGCCTCTCCTCTTTCTTCAGTGAGGCTGGGACTCGGAGACTAACGTAGGGTTTATGGCAAGCTGTGTTGGCCAGAGGAGGATAGTGCTGTCTGTAGCAAATGTATGCAAAAATGAGGCCGATGACTCCGCCCACAAAGGAATCTAGGCAGGAAACAGCAGAGCGGGGAAAAATGGGTTACTGTTTGTTCATATGTGGCCAGTTACATTTTCCAGAAAGCACCTTTCCTACCTGTTCTAGGAACTGGTTTGCTTACAGGACCCCCTGAAAGACTAAAGGAAAGAGAAACCTTGGTGGTGGCCTCTGCAAATTGCCATCATTCCTGGCACTTAAACCCTTAACCATTAAAAAATGAGTTCTTGATTCTTTTCTCCCTGTATTGCTTTTTGCTTTTTTTTTTTTTTTTTTTTTTTGAGAAAGAGTCTTGCTCTGTCACCCAGACTGGAGTGCAATGACATGATCTTGGCTCACTGCAGCCTCCATCTCCCAGGTTCAAGTGATTCTCCTGCCTCAACCTCCCAAGTAGCTGGGATTACAGGCACGCACCACTACACCCAGCCAATTTTTGTATTTTTAGTAGAGACAGGGTTTCACCATGTTGGCCAGGCTGGTCTCGAACTCCTGACCTCAAGTGATCTGCACACCCTGGCCTCCCAAAGTGCTGGGATTATAGGTGTGAGCGACCACACTGGCCCTTCCCTGTATTTCTTTAACTCACACCTGAGCATTGCATAAACTCAGATATGCATTCCTGATTTTTGAAATCAATTCTAAATTCTGGAAGAAGAATTCAACCCATCTCTGTAGGATCTAAATATCTCGGGAACTATAATTTGTTTTTCTTTAGTAAGTTCCCACCAGAGTCCTGTTATGTTGCTGGTGTGCTGCAAAAAGCCAGTGGGTGCACTGGTCTCTGCCTCATGGTAAGTAGTTTCCCAGGGATGAAATGAACTTTCTGAGTCACAAAGTGAATAAAACATTTTAAGATATGCCTGTGTTGGCAAACTCAGCAGACCTCTGGCAGGAAGGGCTCAATTCTCTAACACCTAACAGACCTTACCAACTGGGAGGTGAGAGGGAAGCAGGCAAGGCAGGAGGGTGCATCTGCAGGGAATACCAGCCCTCCACCCCAGGGCTGCCCCTTGCCAAAAAGCACATTCAGGTAGTTGTCAATAGAGACCTCATAAAAGCAGCTCACACCAGCAACCCTCACTTCATATCTGCGTGTGTGCTCACTTTAACTGTCTTCGGGTTATTTTTGCTAAAAAGGTTCTAGTCCAGTGGAAAATCTCCCCTAACAAAAAGATTTGGAACTCTTTTAAGGCTGCTGTCAGGCTGAACTGCAATTCTCTGCTGGGGGGTCTCCAATTTCACAGTTATTATCTTGTTGAATTGTACAGACTTCCCATAGGCAGGCATGATCAGCCTCATTTTCCCCGAAAGAATTGGGCTTGAACCCTGGAGTCGTGATCCTGCAGTTGCACTGGTCCATGGTGCTGTGCTCGCACCCTGGCAGGTTCATTCCAGGCTTGATATCCACATGACTCTCTGAGGTCCCAGCCTTCAGGATGCAGCAGGCCATGGCCTGAAGGGTGTGTCCACCTGCATTCAGGTAGAGGGCAACAGTTTTCCTGAAGGGTCAGTGCTCAGGGTGATAATTTTCCCAACACTTTCCAGTGAGCAAGACACTGCATAGAGACTTCAGTTTAAGTCACAAACTAATGTCCCTGAGTCTCCTGTAGGCGACATTTTGAATGGTTGTCAAGGAAATGTATCTTTCAAGAAAACAGGCTGTTCAATGCTTAGAAACATGCATCACGCTTATCAGTTTTTGTGATCCTGTTATTATGTATCCTGGTTCTATCTAGATCTAACAGGATAATTTCTGAGGACAGGGACAATATTTTCATATTTCAGTATCTTTCACAGAATTGCGTCTACTTTCAGCATTTCTATGAAGCTCACAATCAAACAATAGAGGTTCCATAATTAATAGCTTTATCTTCTTTAAAATAAATTTATAATTTCATGCATGTAATTTTATTAATCCACAATAGCAAAGCAGGAAAAGAAGCATAAATAAAAGAAAAGCTCTTTTATTTCAGACATGTCTGTGATGGCAGCATAAGCTTTCAGTGCGTGCAGACCAAGAGCCCAGTCACCGCTCTGGAGCTGGACTTGGGACACAGCAGTTGATGATGTTCTCTAAGGAGCAAATGGGTGCAGCCATTCTCCTGCTTGGCTGACTCCTTCCTACTGCTGTAGGAGAACAGCCAAGCCCCTGTGTCATTCAAGGCTGCAACCCTGGCCCTGCCAACCATCCCAGCCATTTCCCCTTCACCCATCCTTCCAAAGCCATGGGCTTCCCTTTTGTTCCTCAAATACATGTGCTTCCTCCCCTCTTGGAGGTCCACATGTGCTGTTCTAATCCTGGATTCTTAGGAATCCCTTTCTCCTCACACCTTCCCTTAATCAATTTCCTTTCATATTTCATAGCTCAACTCAGTATCATTGTGCAGCATAACCTCTTCTGACCTCCAGACTAGACCAAGTCTTCCAGTTACACAAGTTAATAGCCCCTCCCCACTCCCTGTGCAATCAGGGTGGAGAACAATGACACACTGTGTGATTGTTTAATGTTTAACGCTGGACTCAAACCTCTATGTGGGTTGGCTGTTGATTCCTTCAACAACTTGGCCAATACCTTGTTCATAGCATAATTGTGTTTGTTGAGGGAAATGGATACATAGTAACTCAGGGTTAGATTGGGTTGTGGTCCTGAGTGTTTTGGGGTGTGCCCCTTTCCTATTCTGGTCCTCTTGATGACCTCGTCAGTAACATATGAGCTTGGAACCACAAGTGCAAGGTGGCTAAGATGCCTTGTTACATAAGTGTTCCCGGAATTTAATCCTGAGTCAGCCTACTGAGGCCACACATCAAGATTATTTGGAGACTCTACCAAGGCGCATTTAGAAAACAGGTCATATCCCCTAGCATCTTGGGAGACCGAGGAGGGTAGATTGCCTGAACTCAGGAGTTTGAGACCAGCCTGGGCAACTTGAGGAAACCCCATCTCTACTAAAAAATAAAAATAAATAAATAAATAAATAAAAATAGCCGGTCATGGCAGCACGTGCCTTCATCTCAGCTACTCCAGAGGCCGAGGCAGAAGAACTGCATTAACTCGGGAGGTAGATGTTGCAGTGAGCCAAGATTACACCACGGCATTCCAGCCTGGGTGACAGAGCAAGACTCTGTCTCAAAAAAAAAAAAAAAAAAAGGAGAAAGAAAGAAAAAGAAAAGAAAAAAGAAGAAAACAGGTCACATTCTTTTCTTGGTCGAGATAAGATGTCATTTGGAAACAAAAGTCATTCTAACTGGTCAAAGGTAGAGACCAAATAATTGTCACTGCTTTCTCCCCATAGGAGTTCAGAGTTAAACAACTGATGAACACAGTGTGACTTCACAGTAGCTGTCTGGCAGAAAGGCAGGGAATACAAATTTGTGTCTGCTCAGACTTGGTAGTATTCCTTGCTAGAATATCTTGGTATATCCTATCCTGCCATCAGGGTAGGATAGGATTGGAAGACAGCAGGGAAAGCAGGAGGCATTCCCAAGAATGAAGAAGAAGAGGAGGAGGCGGCAGACCCATCCCCAAGAGAAGAACTCTTGGCCATTTGGAGGCTCCTGGGGCTGTGGTAAAGTAACCACCACTAACTCTCACCCTGACCCAAGAATCTGCCATGCTGAGAAATTCTAAGGCTAAGACGTTGCCATCCCTATCAGGGCAAGTTGCTTTTCCTCTCTGAGTTTCCTTATCTCTCAAATGTAGCTCTCAATATCCACCTCATTGAGTTGTGATGATAATTTAATAATAGGATCATTTTATGATAATTTAATAATGTGATGATAATTTAATAAAACGATCACTTCATGGAGTATGCCAAATAGGACATAAAAATGGTATCCATCCTTGTTATCCTATGCCATTCCTCCTCACATTCTACTCCGGAACCGCTGGAGGCTTTTTCATCCTCTGGCATCCTTCTCCTCACACACAACTCAGCGGTTTACAGTTCTCACCTCTTTGGTATGGCTACATTTTCATAGCATTGTAAATAAACCTCTAAGGAACTTAAAAACACATTTGTCACCCAAGAAATATTCTGGAGCAGGGCCACAGGGTGTAATTAACATGATTAAATAAAGTTGCTTAAATGAAGAATCTCTTCACTAGCCTGTAGCCACCAGCCTATAAAATGTGCTCGGCCTTTTTCTAGTTCAAGGTCTTAGAGTTGCATGATTGTTTAGTTTTTCCTCTAACCACAGGAAACAGCCCCCTGGGGTATTTTTATTAGCAACTAAAATGATCCACAACATCTGCATTTGAGCCATTGACTAAACAGACCAAAGAGCAAAACCTACAAATAACACCATTCAACATTCTGTTTTCTGTAGCACAGCATCTCATTAGGTGGATCACTGACCAAAAGACATCAAACCATTCCAAGAATGTTTCCCAGACTTACTGACATAGCAGCATGCATGGAAATGACAATTCCTGTCAATTCTGTTTTCCCTTTTAATGGAATGAGTGAAAAGTGATATCACAAGTGCTATGGGAGTTATCAGAAGTAACAAGGGCAATGAACAGCCTCCCCAAGCTGCTTCTCAGCAACATCATTTTTGGGCTGTGTTTATTATAAAGGTGGTGAACAAGATCCACCTTCATAATAGCACTTGAAGGAGCCTGTCATCAATTGCCTCAAGTGGGCTATTGCTATTTTAATAAAATTGCATTTGTATCCTCTTAATAGACAAGCAAGCAGGGGACAAGAAAGCCATTCTTGGGAGAAAAACAGTTGGGATTAACTTTGCCCCAAATCAACTGGAAGTCTCAAAAGGGAAATAAATGGATCTCCATGTCTTTGAAATCCAAAATACTTCTGTCTCCTTACTTAGAACTGATGTCCTTCATTTATTCACATGCACTGCATATGTATCAGGTGTCAGACATGGCAGCCAGGCCTAGGGCACAGGCTGAATAAATGGGACAAGTCCCTGCTATCCCAGAGTTTTCAGCTACAGGGCAAGACAGACACTAAACCATGACAGTCTTATCAACTATGATAAGCACCATGAA